CATAGTCATAGGGGAAATGCTAATCAAAACAACTTTGAGATTTTATGTTACACCAATCAGAATGCCAAGGATCATTAAAACAATAAAACAAATAACAGCATAAGCTGTTGAGAATGCATGGAATTGGGACAACATATTCACTGCAAATTGGAGTGCAAACATGTATAGCCACTGTGGAAACCATAGGAAGATTCCCAAGGAAGCTGCCAATTGACATACCTCAAGATCCTGCTATACTAGTGAGCATATGCCCAAAGGAATCTATTTACCACTACAAGGACACTTGCTCATCCATGTTAATTGTTATTCTATTCAAAATAATCAGAAATTGAACACACCCTAGATATTCATCACTGATGAACACATAATGAAAACATGCTGTATTTACACAATTGCATAGTATTCAATAACTAAGATAAAGGAAATGCATGATAGAAGGAATGGAGCTAGGAAAAGAAGAGGTTTCTGGGCTGCATGAAGCATACATCCTCTGCTTCCCAGAGTGACCAGTGAGCATGGTTCCCAGAGCTGGCTGTATATACAGTTTCACCATGTTGGGAAGTTGAGGTGGGCAGAGTCAGCAGCCAAAGCTGCTATTTTCGCCCTAGTAATGCTGAAGTTTAAAGCAAAGATTCACAATAAGACAGGTTGAGATAAAATAAGACTTTAAATGGTTTACAATGTATGTATGCTTGAAAAAGAGAGGAAAAGGAATATAGACAGTTATATAAAGAAATAGCTTTAAAACAAAGTCTTTAAAGAGACAGTAGATGTAATATAAAAAAAATAAGCCACATAAAGTCGGATATTACACAGAGAATCTGGATTATGTTGTCTTTGTGATTTTTAACTGCAGAGAGATATTTGATTGTAAAATCTGCTTAAACTGCAGAGAGATATTTGATTGTAAAAGCTGCTTAGTTAAATATTAAATATTAGTTAAAGATAGTTTGACTTCAAAATCTTTGTCTAAGGATACGTTGCTTTGGAAAAGAGGTTCTGCTTTTGAAGAAAAGTCTAGACTAATATGATTTGACCAGACATGACCCCCTGAAAGATCTTCAATGACACCATGGCCCAGATCTTCCCACATCCAAAATCAACCTCCAGGCAACTGGCTCAGAGACTACTGGCTCACAGACTGCTCCAGTCAGGACTTGACCATAATCCTAAAACTTTCTTTGTATCCCCATAAGAATATAGTCCCCCTTTTCAGCAGTAAGTAGCTTAGAAAAGTATGCCTGCATTCCCAAAATATGGATTATGGATATTTGTGTTTGTTCAGGTTGTTGGTTACAAATTGTTATTGGTCATAGTTAATATCTTTCTAAAAGAAGAAAGGGGGATATAATATGGAGGATCAGTATGTAGATATGATAGGATAAAAGGATAGAGTGTTGAAACTACTTTTAGAGAGAAACTTGTTTAAAATGTTTTACCTTGGTATAGATTTTAGTTTATTGATATAAATTTAAAGTTAATTTTGTTGTACTGTATGTATACTTCTACTCTTGTTTAAAGTATTGTGTTTGTGTAGCTCATTTCAATTGTAAGGGATAACCAAGAAATACAGATTAATAATTAGTCTTCTAAAATAGTCAAATGTATACTCATGTTAAGTTTTCTAGGTATACATAGATATATTTCAATTAGGTAGGTAAATCTTGAAACACTTCAAAGACCTACAGAATGTGGCATTTAAAATGTTTTAAAAACTTAGATTTTTAGGAACATTAAGATATGTCTGCTCCTGACAACACCAATTTACTTTAGAGAAGATAGTGGGCATTGAAGAAACTCATTTGGACTTTGCCTTCTTTGTGGCAAAATTTAGCCACTGGGCAAAAAAGTGCCCTTGCTTCATCTGCTTGTTAATATGTTGTATCAACTGGACATATAGGGCCCATAGGAAGATGACTACTGAAATTTGCAAGGTGAGATGGTCCTTCGGTTTCCTGCTTCACAGAAGAAACTGCCAGGCATTCTATAGAACACAGAAAGAATTGACTGAGAAACTTGAGGCCCGTGGGCTGAAGATGAATGCCTCACAGTTGCAGAGAACCTTTGAGTGTCTTTCTAGGCAGACAGCTATCTCTGTCATTCTAGATTTTTGAAATTTGCTTACACTGCTCTTCCTGTTTACTTAGATAATATTGTATCCTTCTGAAGACTTTGATATAGTTGAAGACTAGATAGTTATAATTATGGTTTTCCTTGGTTATGATAAGAGATAAGGTAGATATGAAACCTTAGACTCACAAATATATGATAAGTAGGATATCATCTTTAATTTTGCAAATATAAATAGATTAGATATTATAACTGTAATTCTTGCTTGATAACTATTTTATTATATGTAATATTGCTGTTAAAGTTAGACACTTCTTTTTGATTAGACAGAAAAGGGGATGTTTTGTGGGATGTTCTGTATGCTGTGAATATGTGTTGCTCTGATTGATTGATAAATAAAAAGCTGATTGGCCAGTAGCCAGGCTGGAAGTATAGGCAGGATAAGCAGACAAGGAGAACTCTGGGAATTGGAAGGCTGAGTCAGGAATCACCAGCCAGGCATAGAGGAGGCAAGATGATAAGGCAGTACTGAGAAAAGGTATCAAGCCACGTGGCTAACTATAGAGAAGAATTATGGGTTAAATTAAGTGTAAGAGCTAGTCAGTAATAAGCCTGAGCTAATGGCCATACAGTTTATAAGTAATATAAGCATCTGTGTGTTTACTTGGGTCTGAGCAGCTGCAGGACTGAACAGGACACAAAACAACTGCAGCTACATTACACCTTGTTGAGTATTGGCCAAAAAGGACCCATTGAAACCCCTAAAGATTACAATGTAATGCAAAAAGGTATTGGTTACCCTCCACAACCTGATGAAAATAAACTATTGCAGAATACAAGACCTATATTTGTCATCAAACAAAGCAAAGTCGAGTTGTTACCTTGATAGTAGTTGAATGTATTCAGAAGGCTATCAGAAAAGAAAAGTAATCATCAATATATCCCAGTTACAAACCTCACAATCTCCAACATTGATATTCCTGCAACATATACTGGTGCAATAGTGACACAAATATTATGGGAGGAAATAACTAGTCTGATGGGATGTAAAGCTTACTCAGTGAGATGGAACCCATTCCTGACACTGCTAAAATGAAAAGTAACCTGAGACTAGATAGGTCATGCTCTAAGAAAAAGGTATTCTAATACTATTGTTGTACTAATGAAACATAGCAATAAAATTACAATATTATCAATTATATAGCTATGTATGATGTCATCATATAGATATGATGTTTCTATTGCTATGAAGACCCACCATTGCCATGGCAACTGTTATAAAGGGAAACATTTAATTGGAGTAGTTCACGTTTTCAAAGGTTTAATCCAATATCATCATAGTGCAACATGGTGGCATGTAGGCATATTTGGTACTAGAGAGGTAGCAAATTTATGCATCTCTTCCACAGGAAGTAGGAAGTGAACCAAAATACAAGATATTGCTTGAGCATTTATAAGACTTTAAAGCCTGCCTCCACAATGACACACTTTCTCCACCAAGGCCATACCTACTCCAAGAATGCCACATCTCCCAATAGTGCCATACCCCATGAGCTTATGGAGAATAACTACATTAAAATGGCCACAGCCTCTAATGATATATTGTTATGCCCATAGATCAAGGTGAGGTCCTGATGGGAGCTCCAGCTCTTATTATAGGCATGCTGATGTAGTTTGTGCGTATAGAACTCTGAAGAGAATGTCAGCTTCACTGCAACTAGTGTTATAGAGGGTTGTAAGCTGGGAACCCAACTGGGTCCTCTGCAAGATCACCAAGAGTTCTGAACCATGAAGCTGTCTCCCAGCCCCTACTGTGTGATTCTTAAAATATTACTTGTAGAGGTCTTCCCATTATGATTGTGATGTGAGTTCATAAGTAACAGTGACAATCACCATAGAGTGATATTGCTAAGGTGATTTTTTTTTCAGCCTGTGAATTCATCATCAGTGAATGAACCCTGAATAGTTATGACATCTATATAGAGCATACCCTTCAGTGGACCATCATAAACTCATTTGTGACTTAAAAACACATCCAACCAACTTGACTACCCTAATTGGATGTTCAATTTGATTGGGATTGTGTTTTGATACAATTATAGTTATCTTAGAAACTTATAAAAGACTCAACTCTTGATGGACCTTAGAGCCATAGTAATTGTTGGGATCATGTAAGATTTGGCCTGATACTTTACCGGCACTCAGCCTGTTTTCTTAACTTGACTATAAGAGAACAACATTACAGCTACTTTACTTACCTTGGATTCCTATACAAAGAGCTTTTAAAACCTAAGCTAATGCACAGCTTTTATCTTACATTATGTATCCCCCATGATCCTGACTCAGAATAAGGCATGTCTTTATGTGTGGGTTGTGGTAATCATTTGCTGAAAGCAGCCAACAGGTAGGAAACAGTCTGATAAACAAATATTCACCATAAAAGATGTAATCAACACGTAGATACAATTTGCCACTGTATATCTGCTTTTGCAGTCTGTTTTTGTTTTCTGGGTGTTTCAGTGTTTGTTGGGGTCAGTAAATTAATTCCTACTCTATAAACTCTGCTAAAGTTTTCTCTGAGGAATCTGCCATTATCCCTTTGCCATGCCATGTTTTCTGCAATGTCAGATAAATAAAGAGCTAAGTGTTTTTTGGAACACATTCATAAGCCATAGGTACAGTCAGATTCACATGCACACATTACAGATACATCATCACATACTGCACACAGAGGAGCATGGGGTGGGAAGAGTGGAGAGATGGAGCTTGAGCTTCTCTTTGTCAAACTACTCCAAAGGAGAGTGCTGAGGTGACACTAACACAATTTGTTGCATCTTGGTGTTCATTTAACTGACACAGGGACTGGGAACATATTAGTCAGCAATGCCCAGACTATTTCCTTCATAGCAATATTGTATAAGGAGAATATGAACAGAAACCATCAATAATGGGAAAAAATATATGTAGCCAGGCATTGGTGGTTCAATGCCTTTACTCAAGCTCTTGGCAGGCAGAGGCAGGTGGATCTCTATGAGTTTAACGCTAGCCTATTTTACAATTAAGTTCCAGAAATTCCAGAGCTACACACAGAGAATCTCTGCCCCCAAAAAACAAATAAAAAGATAGAAAAAAAGAATTCATAGAAATTCTTATTTTATGAAGAATTTAGTGGATTTTTTTTTGGTCAAAAAGATTTAAATACATAGTTCATCTTCTATGGTTCAAAAGGATCCCATAGATAGGAATACACGTATGTAAAGATTCATACATGGAGCTTCTGTGCAAAGACTTACTGTGTTTTCAATGAAGACAGTCACAAAAAATTTAAAGAAAGTTTAATGCCACCCATTCTTGTCATTTCCAGTTAAAATCCATGACCTCGTCTTACCAATAATATTGGTTTAGTTATTTAATTTCCTACATAAAATTAACTGTGAAGAAATGAAAGTGTAAGCTGGGTGGTGGTGGCACATGCCTTTAATCCCAGCATTTGGAAGGCAGAGACAGGAACATCTCGGTGAGTTCAAGGCCTGCCTTGGCAACAGAATGAACTCCCAGAAAGGCACAAAGCTATACAGAGAAACCCTGTTTCAAAAAAAGCAAAAAAAAAAAAGAGAGAGAGAGAGAAAATAGAGAAAGAAAGGAAAAAAAGAAAAATTCAAAATGCATGATATTGTGTAATACTGTAAACTGAAGAGGTCACTCATATTCTCCATACCCATGATAGATACACAATTGGTCTTTCTCCTGGCAGTAGTGACTGCTCCATCCCCTTTTCTAGAACACAAATACTGCAAATTGGATTCATGAATTCACACCTCGATTCAGGAGATCTGAATTCCTCACTGATAATCAAAAGTCAGAGAGCATATTTCTTGAAGGCAAAGAGCAATGGACCTGATTCCAAACTTTTCCATGGAAACATGGACACTGCTGGCAACCTTCCTGGTCCTCCTCTACCTGTGATTAATAGGTTGGATGCCTCTCTTTCTGGCTTCAGAGTTGGGATTATTCTCAGGCTCTTTTTCCTTGTCAGAAAACCAAAAGGATACTCATACGCCCACAGCTGAACATATTTCTGCAGTTTGTAAATCTCTGTGCTTTTTAGCCAAATGTCCTCAACTCTTGATAAGGAGTCAGTGCTGTGGACACTCAGGAGAAGGCTTAAAATGATTATAGTCAGCTGTTTCTCTTGGTTTGTTTTCTGTCACTTGCCTTATCATTTTTTTGTCACTTTGCAATAGGAAGGTTTGAGGGACCTAGAACTCTGAATGTGGAACACTACACATGAGATATACTTACACTCAGGACTGCCTTTCTAGAGACTATTATCCTAGAGTTTGCTGGATTACCTACATAATTAATAATTAAATGCCTTGTGACAGAGCATCTTAATATAGAAAGCTGCCACTTTGCCTTCTAGGGTCTAGGAAGAAAGAGTACATAGAAATGATGCTTTCTGTGGTTCATCCCCTTGTGAGTTCATGTGGGTAACAGATAGTGCTATTAGACTTTTCTGGGAAAGATGGGGGCAAATATCTCAGTAGGACACAGTTGAAAGATCAGTGTAGCCATTCCTCTAAAGTCCCTCTTGAAGAGACATGAGGTTATGAATTTATCACAGGAATTTATTTGATAGATTACTTGCAGAAAGCAGCTGCAACAACAAAACCAAACATCTTAACAGAAGATGACTCACAAAATTTGTATCTTTAAAGTATATACTTATCTATCATTATTAGTATAGGAATGTTTTATAGGCATGTTGACTTAATAGTGTACATGAATACTTGAGTAAATACATAGGTAAATATATA